TGACAAAATGTTAAGGTTTTTAAGGCACCCACTATATTCCATTTGTATTCTGTTCCAGCCATTGTATTACTGAAGTGGCATCACTTGGTGAAACAGCCTCATTACATTAGTCCTCTCAGGTCTAGTTTTCTATCAAACACATTTTTTCCAATTTTATTTTTTATTCTCTCTGCAGATATGATAAAAACCTAGTGTTTGCTCAGCGCTGGGGAATTAGAAAAGGGATAATAATGGGATTCTTCACTGGTTACATGTGGTTTATAATATTCCTATGTTATGCATTAGCCTTTTGGTATGGCTCACAACTTGTCCTGGAAGAAGAAGAGTATTCGCCAGGGACTCTTCTACAGGTACTCATTAAAGTCTTTGCATTCTTTTCCTCAGTTTTTAGGAACTGCCCCTGAGCACATACATTAGTTATCTTCTAGGTATCAGAACAGTAATACTGTGTGCCTGAACATTACTAAGGTACATGGGAGCAAAATCAAAACGTTGCAATATTTTTGTGGGAGAGAGAAAACAGGGAGTGGGCAGGGGAGAGATGGAAACTGCCCCCAAAATGGCCATTAAAGTACTGATTCAGAAATTCACCTGAGATATGAATGTCCTGGCTATAACTCTGGCAGAGCAAAGATTTGAACTTGTGTATCGTAGCTGAGTACCCTAATAATATCCTTATGGATATTTTGGGGTGTATTTCTTTCTTTGATGCAGAATTTCCACCTTTGACCCAAGATACCTTTCTAATGAATGGATCATTGCAATCAGTTCTTTACATGAAAAAGCATTTTCTGTTGAAAAATTCCCAACCACCTCTAATGATTATATACGTACTGTACACAACAGAACTGTAAATCCACATTCTGTTCCACACATGCAAACTTTAAATTCTGGTGACTACAGAAGTGCCCTGTGTGCAGTGGGGCATGGTGATTATATTCCCTTGACGTATATATAATTCTGGAGGCTATCATGTAGAGCAGAATGGCTACTTTAGATACCAGTGTTTTAAATGCTACATACCCTGAATCCTAGATGTTTTAATTATTCCGTACTCCAGGCATATTGCCATCAGATAAAATAACCTGAAAACTCCACTTGACATTAACATTACATACAGGCCAATGCAGCAAAAAGCAAGTCCTAGATTTTCTTGATTTGTACCCCATAATTGTAGTTCACTATTCCCACCTGACACATAACAACCAGCAGGGAATGGTCTTGTAACTAACAAATTGCAGTTGTCAGTGCACAGGGGACATCTCTAATGCTGCCCTTTTCCCTCTGGTTTCTCTTGGCATTGTCAATCATCTTTTTTGAGCTTTAAATTTCTTTCTTAGTATGTTCCAAATATACATGTTCTGATCACAGAGGATTGTAGTGTGCATCCAATTAAGTGCTAACCCAGCATGGCTGCCCTTTATTATTGTGACCAAAGCTACTGAGCCTTTCCTTTCTTGCTTACACTGATTTTTCCCCCCCTATAGTTTCATAGTTGGTAGGGTCGGAAGGGACCTGAGCAGATCATCAAGTCCAACCCCCTGCCATGGGCAGGAAAGGGTACTGGGGTCAAACAACCCTGGCAAGGTGTCTAGCCTCCTTTTAAGAAATTTTTAAAAAGGGAGGAGGGAGGACCCAGGTAACTATAGGCCTGTAAGCCTCACCTCGGTGCTCAGGAAGATCTTGGAGAGAATCATCAAGAAGCACATCTGTGGGGGGCCAGCAGGGGAAAGCATGCTCAGGGGCAATCAGCATGGGTTCATCAAAGGCAGGTCCTACCTGACCAACCTGATTGCCTTTTATGACCAAGTAACTAAATCTTTGGATGATGGTGTCACCATGGACGTAGTTTTTCTGGACTTTAAGAAGGCCTTTGACACTGTCTCTCACCCCGTTCTCATCAATAAATTAGGTGACTGTGGCTCAGTGAAGTAGTGCCTCCTGATATCTAGCCTGAATCTACCCTCCATCAACTTATGGCCATTATTCCTTGTTATTCCCAGTAGTTCTAGGGGGAACAGGGACTCTCCCATTACCTGCTGGTTTTCCTTGGCCAATTTATGGACAGCCACCAGATCCCCTCTCAGCCTTCTCTTGTGGAATTTTTTAACGAGAATGGGGTGAGAGACAGTGTCGAAG